CATTGTGCTTACCATAACGAAGATGGGCGCATGACTCAGGGTTGCAGAGTCCTGAAAACACACTTGGAAGACCTGGTGAGGCAAGGCCATCTGAGAGACCTTGTCGATGAGGCCAGAACAAGGGAAAAATAGGCAAAACTGCCTTAGGAACCAGCAGCTCCGCCTCCCCCAACACAACAACCTCAGGCAGGAGGACCTCGGGCAATTAATGTAATCCATTCAAAGGTCAACGAGAACGAAATTAAGGGGGAGACCCAGAAGGTGAATCACTTGCAGCATGTCTGCCAAGTCGGGGAGAAGAGACATCGGGCTGAGGAATACCTGGGACGAGTAGTGTCCTTCACTGAATCCGACCTTGAGATGGTGCAGCATCCACACAACGATGCCTTGGTAGTATCCCTCCAGGTTGGGGAATGCCAAGTGAAGCACATCTTAATCGATCAAGGCAGCTCTTGTGACATCATGTACGTCCGATGTTACAAGGAGCTTGGCCTTTACCCAGATGACATGGAGCAATCCGATGGCCCAATGGTCGGGTTCAATGGAATGCTGACGTGGCCACTAGGAGTAGTAAGCTTGGAAGTACAGGCTGGCACGAAGAAGGTAAAGACGGAGTTTGCCGTAATCGACACGCCCTCCCCTTACAATGTTATTTTGGGAAGACTATGGCTGCATGCAATGGGGGCAGTTTCCTTAACACTGCATCAACTATTACGGTTCCCAACACAACATGGGATAGAGGAGGTTAGAGGAGATTAGCTACAGGCAAAGAACTGCTCCATGGAAGCAATGAAAACAACCTGCAGCATTCGTGAACCAAAGAAGGCAGAGATCGAAGACGAGGACGTGGAAGTCCTAGAAGACGTCAGAAAAGAGCCAGCCAAGAAGAGTGAAGAAGCACTAAAGAAAATCCCCGTCTAGGAGGGGGACGAAGAACACTTCTTTCTTCTTGGCTCGGGCTTAGCCGAAGAAGAGGAAAGAGAGCTGGAGGCTTTCCTGAGAGTAAACATTGAGGTGTTTGCTTGGACGCCTTACGAAATGCCTGGCATTGACCCCGAGGTCACATGCCACAAACTGAACGTTGACAGGTCGGCCAAACTTGTATTCCAAAGAGCAAGGAGACCGACGTTGATACACGTCGAAGCAGTGGAGGAAGAAGTAGACAGACTTCTGGAGGCTAGGGCCATTAGAGAAGTTAACTATCCGACGTGGCTGTCAAACACAGTGGTAGTGAAGAAGAAGAATGGTAAATGGAGGGTCTGTGTGGACTTTACTAGCCTAAATAAGGCATGTCCCAAAGATAGTTTTCCTTTACCCAAAATTGACCAGCTGGTGGATGCCACTTCTGGGCATGGAAGGATGAGCTTCCTGGATGCATATAAGGGGCACCATCAGATAGCCATGTACCCCCCAGATGAGGAGAAGACTGCGTTTATCACCCCAAAAGGCCTGTACTGTTACAGAGTAATGCCTTTTGGGTTGAAAAACGCAGGAGCAACTTACCACAGGTTGGTATCCAAGATGTTCAGACATCTGATTGGCCGAATGGTGGAAGTTTACATCGACGACATGGTCGTAAAGACAAACGAACCTGAGGGGCATCTTGCCGACCTAAAAGTAGTATTCGAGATCCTCAAAACATATCGGCTCCGACTTAATGCATCGAAGTGTGCATTTGGAGTTGGATCTGGTAAGTTCTTGGGATACCTGGTGACCAAAAGCGGCATTGAGGCCAGCCCAGATCAGATCAAGGCCATTCTAGAATTGAAGAGCCCGACATCGGCAAAACAGGTACAAATGCTGACTGGAAGGGCTGCAGCCCTGAATAGGTTCATAAGCAGAAGTTCAGACAAGTGCAAACCTTTCTTCAACTTAGTGAAGAAAGCCACAGACTTCTTGTGGACCGAAGAATGCGAAGTCGCCCTGGCTGACTTGAAGAAGTATTTGACCACAGCTCCAGTTCTTTTAAATCTAGAACCTGGGGAGGAGCTATTCCTGTACTTGGCAGTTTCAGAACATGCGATAAGTGCAGTGGTAATCCGAGAAGAAAAAGGAGAACAAAGGGCTGTTTACTATATAAGCAAAACCCTGGCTGATGCAGAAACGAGGTATCTACCCTTAGAAAAGTTGGCACTGGCTTTAGTAATGGCTTCAAAGAAGCTGAACCATTACTTCCAGGCCCATAAAATTGTGGTGATAACTGAGCATCCTTTGAAGTCCTTGTTGCAGCAAGGAGACTAGACAGGAAGAATAGCCAGATGGGCAGTGGCTTTGGGCCAGTATGACTTGGAATACAGACCCAGAACAACAATTAAAGGCCAAGTTTTGGCCGACTTTGTGGCCGAGTTCACGCTAGAACCCATTGTACATCGGGCTCCGTTGAGCCAAGGTGAACGATGCCCAAGCAAGCAAGGAGAAGCCCAGCCGAAGGTAGCGGAACAAAGGAAGGAAGAAAAACTCAGACCCTGCATCATTTACATCGGCGACTCTTTCAGACTGTTTGTCGATGGGAGTTCAAACCAACAAGGAGCGGGGGCAGGAGTAGTATTGGTATCTCCAGATGAAGAGATATTAGAACAATCCATTCGATTGGGGTTCAAGGCCTCAAACAATGAAGCAAAGTATGAAGCATTGATTGCAGGATTGAAGCTGGCAGTGGCAGTAGAAGCAGATGAAGTAATAGTCTTCTGCGACTCCCAGCTCATAGTCAACCAGACAACGGGCGAATTTGCAGCCCGAGATAAAAGGATGTCGGCCTATGCAAACGAGGTCAATGGCTTGGTAGCCTTGTTTCAGAATTGTCGACTTTATCAAGTTAGCCGAGATGATAACAGTCACACCGATGCACTGGCCAACTTGGCTAGCGCAATACAACCTGGGAAGGTAAGGACGATAATGGTCGACCACTTATCGGGCCGAGCATCGAACCACCGACCACAGAGCATGAAGCAATGTGTGTGGACTTGGGACCAAGCTGGATGGATGCAATAATTGCATTCCTAAGAGAAGAAAAGCTGCCTGAAGATCACAAAGAGGCACACAAGATCAGATTGAAATCGGTGAGATTCAGTCTGACAGCAGAAGGATATCTCTACAGAAGGTCCTTCACTAAACCCTTTTTAAGGTGCGTACATCCTTTACAAGTTGAAGATTTTTTATATGAAATTCATGAAGGAATTTGTGGAAGCCACACTGGGGGCAGATCACTTGCCCATAGGGCCATTACCCAGGGGTATTGGTAGACCTACATGCAGAAAGATACAGAGGCCTATGTCAAGAAGTGCGAGAAATGTCAGAGGTTTGCACCTCTGATACATCAACCTGCAGCCGACTTAAATCCAGTATCCAGTCATTAGCCATTTTCCCAGTGGGGCATGGATCTCGTTGGGCAACTACCCCAAGCAACTGGACAAAGGAAGTACCTGCTGGTGGCCACAGACTACTTCACTAAATGGATAGAAGCTGAACCCCTTGCCAAGATCAGAGATGTGGATGTGAAGAAATTCATTTGGAAAAATATCATTACCAGATTTGTGATTCCAAGAGCAATAGTTACAGACAATGGAACACAATTTGACAGTAAGCTAATTAAGAGCTTCTGTGCAAAGTTCAAGATCAAGAACTACTTTTCAACACCAAGCTTTCCCCAAAGCAACGGACAAGCAGAAGCATCCAACAAAGTAATCTTGGATGGGATAAAGAAAAGGCTGCAGGTAGCAAAAAGAAAGTGGGTGGACGAACTCCCAAATGTGCTCTGGGCATATCAGACGACGCCGAGAAGATCAACAGGGGAATCCCCCTTTGCCATGGCTTATGGCACAGAAGCAGTCATCCCACTGGAGGTCGGCATCCTAGGAATCAGAGCCCAAGGAGTAGAGAACGAGACTAATGACATACTCTTAGCCCGAGATCTGGATCTCCTAGAAGAAAGAAGAGAGAAAGCTGCAATTCAGCTCGCAGCATACCAGCAACAGCTTGCCAGAACTTATAACAAGAAGGTCAACCTAAGGGAGTTTCAAATCGGTGACCTCGTCTTGAGAAAAGTCGTCGGCAACAAGAAGGATCCCAGAGAGGAGAAGCTTGGCCCAAATTGGGAGGGTCCCTACAGAATCATCTTGGTGTTGGGCAATGGGGCATATCGTCTTGAAGATAATGAGGGCAAAGAGTTGCCAAGACCTTGGAACACTTGCAATTTGAAATTTTTCTATCATTAGAGTGTTTTGTTCTTTTGTCATTTGCCGAAGTAAATTAATAAAGTTTTAGCCCGATTTGTTCGTTCATACACTTGTGATTGGCATTGTTCCTAAAATACATAATGAGAACCCAAGTGGAACTTAGGTTCACATCAAGGGGCAAAGGACAAGGAAAATGATGTTTAACACTTGAGAAAAGTTTACAAGTTGAAGTTAAACCGAAGTGATGTTTAACACTTGTTGAAACTTGAGCAAAGTTTACAAGTTGAAGTTAAACCGAAGTGATGTTTAACACTTGTTGAAACTTGAGAAAAGTTTACAAGTTAAAGTTAAACAGAAGTGATGTTTAACACTTGTTGACACTTGAGCAAAGTTTACAAGTTGAAGTTAAACCGAAGTGATGTTTAACACTTGTTGAAACTTGAGAAAAGTTTACAAGTAGTTAAATCGAAATAATGTTTAACACTTGTTGAAACTTGAGAAAAGTTTACAAGTTGAAGTTAAACCGAAATGATGTTTAACACTTATGAAACTTGAGCAAAGTTTACAAGTTAAAGTTAAACCGAGATGATGTTTAACACTTGTTGAAACTTGAGAAAAGTTCACAAGTCGAAGTTAAACTGAGATGATATTAAACGCTTGTTGAAATTTGAGAAAAATTTACAAGGTTGTGTTAAGCTAAGCACTTATGTACTTGCCGATATAAACAGAGGTATTCAACCCCGTTGAAGTGCGCATTGAAGATATGCAGAATACTCTAAAGTATGGAATCATACAAAAGCAGTAAACGAGTAGGCAGAGATGCATTCATTCAGAAAAAGAAGTTGTATTAATACAAAAGAAAGGCACATTGGCCACAAAGAGAGACTACATTGATTCAAAAGGTAGAAAAGTACAAAAGGTGGAAAAGTACAAAAGGCAAAAACTAGAATTCCTCATTAGTAGGCTGGGTCTGGACCTCGGAAGACTGCTGGGAGGACATCTCGGCTACCTTCTCAGCCGCGAGCTCAGCATCAATTTCTTGAAGGGTGTGATCAAGGCTCTTGTCGGCGAGAGGCACGTCCGATAATGCCTTCTCAGGAGAAGCATCCTTGGGAACCTTCTCACACTCCTCATCTTGAGTCAAGTCTAGGACTTGCTCATTTTGAGAAAGGGACTTGGTCCCAGCAGCCTCCTTTGATCTCCTCACCAAGGTCTCCTCCTCAAACTCAGATTCGTCTTCGGATTGAGGTGGAGTTTGAGGAAATAGAAGAGGAAGGACATCGGTATTCCTGAGGGGGGAGTCATTGGGGATTTCAAGCTTTTTTAGCAAAGTCATCCAACCAAGGGTGAAGCCCTTGTTGCATGCCTACTTCACTTGTTTCTCGTAATCTGCCGTGACATCGGCCACCCCCTTGTTGTACCCTTTCTCATCGACAGCCTTGATCTCGGCGTCTTTGGTGGCCAGGGCATCCCGAAGTTCTTGTTGAGCTTGGGCCATCTTTTCCTCAGACTCTTTTCTCTGTGCCTCAAGAACTTTGTTAATAGCCTCAGCAGCACCTGCTTTCTCATCGGCATCGTCCTTAGCCTTGATGGCAGCCTCAGCCTGGTCTTCCAACTTCTTCATTTTTGTTTGTAAGCTTTTGTTGGCCTTTTGCGGACTGGCAACTTCTCTCGTCTTCTCGGCCAGCTTCTCCCGGTTCTCAAAAGATTGTATTGAGAAAGAATGAGCATGCTGGATGGCCTGAAAGTGAACAAGACAGAGGTTATTAGAAAATTTTCTAAGTACAAGAAAGAAAGAAACATGACTAAATAAAGACACTTACTTGAACAGAGCGCTGAAGCATCAGAGCATAGTTTTCATATTCGCTCAACTTGGCGTTTCGATCGAGATCGCTGGGGAGAAGCAGAGCGGTGCTAAGGGCAACACCGACATTAGTGTCATCAACGCTATGACTGGTCATGACCGGCTTGTCTTCCAGAGTGATTTGGGGGGCCCAGGGGGAATCTTGCCATCGAGACCCCGAGGTGGATGTGGCGGATGACCTCGGCTTCTTTGATCTTGGGGATTGAGATGGTTGGGCCTCGGCTGGCCTCTTCTCGGCAGCAGATGTGGTTCTCTCGCTCGAAGCCAACTTCGAGATCGGTAAAGTATCTTTGGTATCAACTTGAGTCGCCTTGGCCTTTGGTTGAGCCTTCTTTATTCTTTTCGGCTTCGGAGGGGGCTGGGACTGCGCTGGTGGAGCATCAATGGTTGATGGGATGCTGGCCAAGAGATCTTTGGCAACTGCTTTTTGACGGTCCATTTCAGCAGCAAAAACGGATCGTCGCCGACGTTGTTGCTGAGATGATGGGATCAGGTATGGAGCCGAGGTTAACGGCTGCTCAGCTGGATCAGAGGTTGATCCTCGGTCTGTCCGAGATGTGGACGCAACTTGTGGAGTTGTGGCAGAAGGTGGAGAAAGGCTTTCTTCTTCTTTTTTGGGATGTCGGGAAGAGCCAGCTTATAAGTGGGGATGAAGTTGAGAAGCAGAGGGGCCTTCCGTTTGTGGACTGGCAGATCCAAAAAGTTTCCTCAAGTCTTTGCTGGGAAAGAAAGACTGACGGAAACCCTTTGGTGGCTGAGGAAGAGCTGCAAGGGAAAATAGACGTCAGAGCAAATAAAGTATTGAAGACTTAAAAAAGTGATAAGTGCAAACGTTGGGCTCTTACCATTGCCCTCAACAAAAACTGTTCGTGGGAGAGGGTAGAGGTGAAGATCATTGTCTGGAGCGAACTCCAAGTTCCTCGAGGTAATGAAATAGTCGTCTCTAGCCCCCTTGTTGGAGTCTGGGAGGTCGGCAACAATTTTGTATTCACTAGACCTCGGCTTAAGGTAGTAAACATAGCCTATGTCTTTTTTGAGGCCACACATGGTGTAGCAATACTGGATGTTAGCTAAGGTAATCCTAGCATTTTCTTGTTTAGCTAAGGCTATGATACCATTGATGACTCGATAGGAATTAATGGCAAGCTGCATTGGGTTCAACTTGTAATAATAGATGATCTCACGGAAAAGGGTATTGAGTGGGAGCCGAAGTCCGCACTCGATAAAAGCTACGACAGGAAAGGGCATAGAATCAGCTGTGGGCATGATAGAGTCATCCTCCCCAGCCAACCTCAGATGAACGTCGGCCGGGATGTCAAACTCTCGCCTAAAGTGCTCTAACTTAGATAGGGTGTCTACCTTATGTTTCCACATACCCATGGTGTCGGCCCAAGGTTTGGGAGCTGGATTTCAGAAAGGGAGGTGTTTTGGTAGGTTTTAGAGACCTCAGCTAAACTCTAAAAAGTACAAAATCAATGAGGAATTGTTTTCAAGTTTTTCCTAAAAATCGTGGGTTCTACAAACAAATCCCAAACCTATGTCTATGGAAACCAAGATTGAAGGCACGAAATCTGGAAAACAAAAAAGCAAGAATGTGCTTCAGAATGCGCTTCAGAGTCAAGAACAAAGATGAACTATCAAGAACATTGTAAAGATCCAAGGGTATAAGGCCAAGAACAGTGGTAACAATCAACAAATGTGTGAACAGTGTAAATTCGAGACATAAATTGGGCAGAAACGAAAGATAAATGTGCTCGAATACATGACTGATAAATCAAAAGCTTGAGTAAAGCGACAATGGCAATTAGATAAATGGAATATAACTTCTTGAAAGAGAACAAATAATTGAAATCAAGTAGAACAGTAACTTACCAGAAAAAAGGAAGCCGGTGTTAAGTTCGCTGAGGTTAGACGAACGGTAGCAGCGGAGAAGAATAACAAGCGTCTCGCCGAAAGAGGAGAACGACGGTGGTAGCAGAGCTCAAAAGTTTAGAACAATGGAGGAGATGGAAAGCTAGAGAGAGAGAGAGAGCTTCAGAAACAATGAAAAGTGAAAAGACGGGGGAAAGGAAGAAGTTTTGGCAAAACAGAAACGGCGGCAAAGGGGTCATAAATGTGCCTAGAAGAACGTATGTGCCAGACGGTGCACGTGAGAAAGATTTGATTTATAGACATGTATCAGGTACGATCCAATAGGAGAATGACACGTGGATGAAACGGTTAAGTTATTTTGCACGACAGCTCATGTGCATAAAAGAACACTTGGAGATCTTGATCTTTAAAGGAGACATGCCGGCTGATATAATGATCTCGGCTGAGACACTTAAGCCGACGTACTTTCAGAAGTACTGATATAGGTTCCATCACCTCAGATGCCGAGGTAATAGAACCTAGGGGGCAGTTGTGGGGATATATTTTCTGAGTACCAACACGTGGCCAAGGTGACGTCGACGTGTCAGCCGAGGTGCCGCGTGTCCTGGTCATGACGCCGAGGTTATTTCGGCTAGGCCGAGGTTATCTCCGAAGATATCAGAATCTGATATAAGCAGATAAGGCACAAGAGTCCTAGAATGAGGAATGACTACCGTAAGGATAAGGATAACACTCTTAGGGGGTTTATCTTTATCTCATGGAGAGTGTAGAATAAAACACTGAGCAAGAGTCCATTGAAGCTAGGCTTCTAGTGGGACTAGGATTGAGTTAACTATAAAAGAAAGGCACCCCCGTGGGTCTAAGGTACACAATTTATATTCTGAACAGTGAGTTTAGCACTATTGATTATCTTGGAGAGATATACTGACTTGATCGTTGGAGTGCCCCCGGGTGGACGAACCACCGCCGAAATCTTTTCTTTCTGTTGCAAGTCAGCCAGGTGTCATCTATTCTGCCAGTACTCTCCAGCTGAATAACTGAGTTGGCAGTGTGGTCGGAAAATCACTCACACCACAACCATGAAGGATGTAACCGCAAGTAATCCCAGGTGGATGCTTGATAATAATTAGTTTAGGGTAGGCTTCTACAATGAATGTGAGAAGAAGATCTTAAGTGCATTTCCTGGAATTGATCTTCGAGTAACTCCTCACATTGACTCGAAGATTAAGTTGTGGAGGAAACAAGATAACACTTTTCAAGATATGTTAAAGATAAGTGGTTTTGGTTGGGATGATGAATAAAAGATGGTGTTGGTTGATAGTGACAGCATATGGTTGAACTATGTCAGGGTATACATTATTTTTATTTTGTTATTTGCATTATTCTTTACTTATAAATCAACATGTTCTTTTTAATAAATAATCACTTGTGTAGAGGGTGCCAGATGCAAAAGGGATGCAAAACAGGCCATTCCGGTTCTATAAAGATTGGCTTATTCTATTCGGGCAGGTGAACTGGTTGAGGGTCCTGCTGATGTAGTTGCAGGCATGGATAAGGAGGATGCAAATGCAACTATAGAAAAAGGAGATGAGTCTCCTGTTGAACAATTTAGTATGAACATGCGTAATATGGACTATTCAATGTCTACTTCAGGTAATGTTCTCAACCGTACGTGCTGACTCTGCTAAAACTAGTAAAAAACGGGGTTGACGTGCTGAGGGGATTCCCACTGAACTATCAAAGATGACAAAAAATCTTAGTTCATTCATTGAAAATACTAATACTACGATGGTGGAAATTGCTCATAGGATAGGATATTTACATGACCTATCCTAACAAAGGAGGTTAGTTAATGTAAAACTTCTAAAGTTGCCAATGAGTAATACCCAAAGGTTGATGACAGCATCTATGATAGTGAAAGATGAGGACAAAGTTGACTTGTTCTTCAGTTTAGGTAAGAATGACAAGATGGAGTGGGTTTCTTTGCTATTGGAAGGTCATATTTGAATCTGGCATCTACTTTATGGTGGTCTTTTTATTTGCCACATGACTTGATATAATATATTATGTGATGCATAAATATTATGGTTTAGGTATTATCTGTGGATGTACCTTCATGGTGCATAATTTGCATGGAAATTATGGATATGTAGACTTGCCCTTTCATGGTGGATTTCCATAGTATGTTTTGGTGGTTAAAAATTGTTTCATGTATCGATATGTCTTATGATTCATTATGTTTTGGCAAGGAATGTATGTTGATGTCTTAATTTTCTCTCTTTTAATTTTTTTTTATATTTTAAATATGGTAATAGAAATGGCAGGAAACAAGCATATTATGTTGTATTTGTGGGGATGATACGCAAAAATTATAATAGTTTGGCAGATTGTAATAAACAAGTTACTAGATTTTTTGAGACTATTTATGAAAAATATGACTCATGGAATGAGGGTCATAATACTTGGAATGAGACTCATAATATGACTCATGTAATATTAAACACAAATAATTAAGTAAAATTTTATTGATAGTTGGATTCTTCAACAAAAAAAAGAAAAAAAGAAAAAAAAAGAATAACATTGAGTAAAATTTATTGATAGTTGGATTCGTTAATATTAAAAATAAAAATAAAAACATTGAGTAAAAAAAATTTGATAGTTGAATTCTTTAATATTTGAAAAAGAAAAAGAAAAAAAGAATAACATTGAATAAAATTTTATTTATTCTTTAGTTGGTATAAGCTCAAATTTGATAGGATGAAAAATTTTCCTGATACATTTCATGATTTTTTTTCATGATCCATAGTATTATTCAATTTGATAATAATGCAAATGGTATTTATGGAATTTTACATGATTAATCCCACTTTTATCTCTCAAAACAAACATGAGCTATTACCAGTCTACTGGTTAGCAAACAAATACAGTTTTTTCTTAATCCCTTCATTAGCAATCTCCTTATTAACAGTCCCCTCATTAACAATCTTCTCTATTCTATCTGTAAAAACAAACGGGTAAAACGGAGACAGGCCCTTCTCGTATTTTCTTCCATTTCGACATTAATTATGTGTGGCTTTTATTGCCCCAAAAAATAAAATAAAAAGCATTGTGGCTTGTGTAGGTTGGTTTACACATCAATTAAATAATAAAAATTATAAATGCAGTGAAATTTGAAATGTGTGTTTATAAAAATTATTTTAAATACGATTATACAATAGCAATTATTATAATGTTTTTTTTAGCTATAAATTATTATAATTAACTAAGATAAAGGTAAAATATATGTACCATAATAATTAAGGTGATTTGTTAGAATAATAATTCATTTTGAGGAACGGACAGCGTGGATGAACGGTGGAGGTTGTGCCAAATGTATTGTTACAACTTGTATTTGCTATGGCAGCCCCCTTCAGGACCGTTGTTTAGGCTTTATGCCTCCCAATTAAAAAAAAAAAATTTGACAAACTAATAGAGAGTTTAGTCCAGAAAAAAATTGTATATATCTTCAAAAGACTACCTATTAAGAATTTATTTATATTTACATTACAAAATAATTCATTACACTCA